CAGCATAATGTTTTCCAAATTCCTAACAGGGATCACGGTTGTCAGTTAAAATTTAAACACCTAAGAATAATTGTGTGTTAATTACAGAGTTCAACCAATGGTACTAGAACAAAAAAAATACTAAAATGGATAAAGTATTACATTGTAAATCAACCGTTAGGACGTGAGATCCCCGTGGAAAGAACAGGTCATCAAAGAAGGAGGTACCTTTCTCTGAAGGGAGGAGAGAACTTCCACTTTGACCATGGCCTTGTCTAAATATGATTAGAGTCGGTGAACTCAGGGGGCTTCCATAGCCTTGGCAGCTAATGACAAGAGCCTAGGGTGATTACTGATGCCATAAACAAGAGTGTCAATTTGTTAAGTCAACAACAGGAGTCACTGTGTACTTACTCCTCATGTAGGATCTTTGGCCTTAGTGTGCTGTACATTGAGATTTAATGCTATAACTAGTACTCAAACAGTATTTTTCACTTTATGTTTCTGTGTGGGAGCAAACTGTTGAAATCTTTCCTTAATGTATGCTAAACTGATCTTCTGTATATAAAGAGAATCAAAAATGAATCTTGATGTGAATGGAAGGGGAGAGGGAGTGGGAAAGGGGAGGGTTGCATGTGGGAGGGACGTTATTCGGGGGGGAAGCCATTGTAACCCATAAGCTGTACTTTGGAAATTTATATTCATTAAATAAAAGTTAAAAAAAAGGAAAAAAAGATTTATTTATTTATTTGAAAGGCAAAGTCAGATAGAGGGAGAGACATAGAGAGAGAGGTCTTCCATTTGCTGGTTCACTCCCAAGATGGCCACAATGGTCGGAACTGGCCGATCTGGAGCCAGGAGCCAGGAGCTTCTTCCGGGTCTCCCATGCAGGTGCAGGGGCCCAAGGACTTGTGCCATAAAGTGCTGTTTTTCTGAGGCGCACTAGCAGGGATCTGAAGTGGAGCATCTGGGACTTGAACTGGTGTCCATATGGGATGCTGGCACTGCCCAGCCCCCTTGTAGTAGGTTCTTAGGGCATGCAGAAACTATTGAATGGAGACTTTACAGTTTAGGATTTCTGTTGGCCAGATGAGGAGGGGGTGATACACTAAGTAACAAACTGTAGGTAGTTCACCATCCAAAAACCTGGTGTTTGACCACACTGTACAGACCTAGATTAACTTAAAAATTAAATAATTTAAAAGGAAAAGAGAGACAGACTGATCTCCCATCTGCTGGCTCCCTCCCCAAATGCCTGCAACTGCCTGGGCTGGGCCAGGCTAAAGTGGGAGCTGGGAACTCAACCCAGGTTTTCCACATGTGTAGCAGGGACCAAACTACCTGAGTAATCACCATCACCTTCCAGGCTTTGAGCTGGAATTGGGAGTGGGGCAGGAACTTGAACCCTGGCACTCGGACACGGGATACAGGTATCTCAAGCAGCATCATAACTGCTGCTCCAAACACCAGCCCCTGAATTAATTTTTGGAGGAAATGCCAGCCCCTAAATTAACTTTTTTGGGGTTCCTCCTATACATGAATTTCAAAAATTTTTACAACAAAATAAACATATATTCTTCAATCTTTAGGCTTTGCTTACTTCAAAGATTTGCTCCTTAGATGACCTTGCAATATATTTTTCAAGACATATATTATAGAAATATAGTACTGAACATTTGCACAATGGATAATAAGGCTACTCACAGCCTGCTACTTTAGCTGCACGCTACAAAACCCCTTTATAAGTTTTTAGCGTGTGACGTAGAATAGCTGTCATGCATTGCATGCTAAGTGTACCAAGTGTCCTCTATACATTTGGTTTCGAACCAATGATGTGCATACTACTACCTCCATTTTACAGATGAAGAAAGCGAGGCTCAGCGGTACCACCCAGCTTCGATTCAAATCACGTCTAGTATATAAGCACTAATTAAATATACTGAAAAACCGCAATGCTCACTAAATTTTAGTCTCCTCAATAAATTTCCCAAGTCCCCTCTCTTCTACTTGGTACATTAACAACAAGAAAACAAGCCACCGCTTCAAAAAATAAAAGGAAGTAAATCAGTTTTTTCAGAAAAACACAGCCTACAATTACCAGGCTCCCTCTCCACCTGCTGAGGAGGTGGGGGCGGCACCAAGACCACGCGGCCCCAGCACGCGCGGGGCGTGGCGTGGCTGGGCGTGGCAGGCACCCAGTGCGCAGGCGCGCACCTGCTCGGGGCGCTCGGGCCGCGTGCTGGCCCGCGCCTCCTCCTCCCTGCTCCTGCCGCGCTCTCGCCCCGCCTGCTCCTGCCGCGCCTTCCCCGCCCTTCCTCTCGCCACTCTCCAGGCCCCGCCTCCAGCCCGCGCGCAGCCTCCACCTCGTAGTCACCCTCTAACTCCTGCGGAGCGCTGCGTGCTGCTGCGTCATCGCCAGTGGCCGGTTTGAATGAGACGCCTCGTCGCAGCGCCGCCACCGCCGCCGCCGCCGCCGCCGCACCTCTGCCTCGGCCGCCCTTAGAGTCTGCTCGTCCGTCTCCCTTCGCCGCCCTTGCCAGGCCCGGCTCTCCTGCACCGCCGCCTTTTCCCCGCTCCGCCATGCCACTCTACTCTGGTAAGCATTTCGCCCCGCGCCTGCCCTCCGGCTCGACGCTAGGCCTCCGCGTAGGCCTGGCCTTGCTGAGGCGCGCTCGGGGCGCGGGCCAGGGTGGGTCAGGGTGGGGTGTGCGGGGTGGCCGTAGCGCGGAGTCGACCTTGACACCTTTCCTTTCCCTTCCTGGGTCGGAGGCCTACCGGCGTGGGAGCGCTTTCGCCCGGGCTAGCGGATGGTTGGGGTGGGAGCGGGAGTGGACAAGGGAAGCGGCTCGGAGTCGTGACTCTGCAGAATAGTTTCTGTCGCTGCCCTCGTGGGCTGGGAATGGTGAGGGTGTATGTCCTGGGAGGCCAGGGGTCGAGCTGGAGGTGCGGTGCGATCCGTTTGGGCTGCACTGTGGAGACTTGGAAGGGAGCGCGGAGGGTTGGGGGGACCAGGGTTGCGAGGTTTGCCTTCATCTCTCTCGAGATGGCCCTAGGAGAGCTGTCCTTCGTCCTCGGCTTACTCCTTGCTACCCCTATGTAGCAGTTTCAATTCTGTCCCGTGGCGGGTTGCAAACCTCACTTTGGGCTTCGTTTTCGTTTTATCATCATTGCATTGGACTCCTGTATCCGCAGCTTAGTGTTAGCTTTGGGAGGTAGAGGAATACACAGACATTCTGGCGGGCGTCATTGCTTTTTGATTGGCGTTTGACAGGATTCATTTACTTTATGGCAACCTGAGGTATTGGTGAGGGGTCACATTTTTTTCTGAGTTACGGAACCTGAAATGTGTGTGGTGGCTCCAGTTGGCTAAGATGGATGATTCATTGACCACCTTCTGACTCTTCACTCTGTCTTAATTTCTGTATTGAATATTCTGCGTTTTCAAAGAATGATATGAATCAAAAAGAAGGTGCATTCTTGATGGACTCGAATCTCGAATTTGATGCTTTAATGATGATTACCTAAGTAAGTTAGTATGCTAATACTTAAACACATGGTAGATTCCCACAAAGACAACAAAACCAGCCCCTTAAGACATCCCACCACTCACCAAAGCTCTGTCTTAAAAAATTGAGTTTTTATTTTATGTTTTTAAAGATTTTGTTTATTTATTTGAGAAACAGGCCCCAAATGGCTGCAGAGGCCAGAGCTGGGCCTATCCAAAGCCAGGAGCTTCTTCAGGTCTCCCATGTGGGTGCAGGGGTACAAACACTTGGTCCATCTTTCAGCTGCTTTCCCAGGCCATAGCAGAGAGCTGGATTGGAAGAGGAGCAGCTGGGACATGAACCAGCGCCCATGTCGGATGTTGGTGCTGCAAGTGGAGGCTTAGCCTACTACACCACAGTGCTAGCCTTGAGTTGTTTTATTTTTGAAAATTTTTATTTGAGGGGCTGGTGCTGTGGCTTAGTGGGTAAATCCATCGCCTCTAGTGCTGGCATCCCATATGGGTACTGGTTCGAGACGCAGCTGCCCCACTTCCCATCCCGCTCTCTGCTATGGCCTGGGAAAGCAGCAGAAGATGGCCCAAGTCCTTGGGCCCCTGCACCCACAAGAGAGACCGAGAAGAAGCACCTGGCTCCTGGCTTCAGATTGGCGCAGCTCTGGCTCTGGCCATTGTGACCAACTGGGGAGTGAACCAGCAGATGGAAGACCTCTCTCTGTGTCTCTCCTTCTCTCTCTGTGTAACTCTGACTTTCAAGTAAATAAATAAACCTTTAAAATTTTTTTTTATTTGAAAGAGAGATCCGTTGGTTCATTCTGCAAATGACTGAAACAGCCTAGTTTTTGGCCAGGCCAAAGCCAGGGGACTAGAACTCAGTATGGGTCTCCCACATGGGCAGCAAGGACCCAACTACTTGAGCCATCACTTGCTGCCTCCCAGGAAATGAATTGACAGGAAACTGAAATCAGGAGCCAGCCTGGGACTTGAACCCAGGCCCCTTTATAAGGGAAGTGGGTGACCCATGCAGCATCTTAAACGCTATGCTAAATGCATATCTGAGTTCATTTTATCAGATCTTTTCCTCATCTCCAAAATGAAGGAATTGAAGTAGCTTTCCAAGGTCCCTTCCTTTGACATCTCCGTATTGAGAATGTTTATTTTCAGGATCAGCAAAAAGCCCTGTATTAAAATTAAAAGAAATTTTAGGTATCACTTTGTAAGTTTGAGTAAAAAATTAAGTATCTAGATTCTTTAATAGTTGAGGGTAAGTACAGTAAAAATTATTGAACACTTACAACAGTGTGTTTGGCAGAGAGGTAGAGTTTTGTTTTAGTCTTCATTATAATCCTGTGATAACTGATAAGTTTAATTTTTTATGGATAAGCAGAAAGTTTAAGTAGCTTGCCCTTTATGCCACATCTACATTTAGGTAGATTCTTCTCTTTCATTTCAGAATATGGTTTGTCTCAGCTGGCCTTTAGCTTGTCTGTGATTATAGTTGTGCCCCCTTTAAAGCCATTTTCTCTGCTGCAGCTAGAGTGATCCAGTGGCCTTTGTTTGTTTGTTTATTTATTTATTTATTTATTTTGACAGAGTGGACAGTGAGAGAGAGACAGAGAGAAAGGTCTTCCTTTTTCCGTTGGTTCATCCCCCAAGTGGCTGCTATGGCCAGCGCGCTGCGCTGATCCGAAGCCAGGAGCCAGGTGCTTCTCCTGGTCTCCCATGCGGGTGCAGGGCCCAAGCACTTGGGCCATCCTCCACTGCACTCCCGGGCCACAGCAGAGAGCTGGACTGGAAGAGGAGCAACCGGGACAGAATCCGGCACCCCGACCAGGACTAGAACCCGGTGTGCTGGCACCGCAGGCGGAGGATTAGCCTATCGAGCCACGGCGCTGGCCCCAAAGTGGCCTTTGTAAAGACTGTTAAAGGATTATACCTTGCCTACAAAACAAAGCCTGTATGTATGAAAGCACTTCAAAAAGTTTGTGGGAAAATGGAATTAAAAGAGAAGTTTAGTGGAAAAACATTTTTTGAGTAGTTTTTTTCATGACATGTTTTCCATGATTTTTTTTTTTAAATTTTTTTTTTTTTTAATTTTTTGACAGGCAGAGTGGACAGTGAGAGAGACAGAGAGAAAGGTCTTCCTTTGCCGTTGGTTCACCCTCCAATGGCCGCCTTGGCCAGCGCGCTGCGGCCGGCGCACCGCGCTGATCCGATGGCAGGAGCCAGGAGCCAGGTGCTTCTCCTGGTCTCCCATGCGGGTGCAGGGCCCAAGCACCTGGGCCATCCTCCACTGCACTCCCTGGCCACAGCAGAGAGCTGGCCTGGAAGAGGGGCAACCGGGACAGAATCCGGCGCCCCAACCGGGACTAGAACCCGGTGTGCCGGCGCCGCTAGGCGGAGGATTAGCCTAGTGAGCCGCGGCGCCGGCCCTCCATGATTTTTCTGAAGATCTCTCATGTGCATGGATTTTAGAGTTTGTTGCACCAACATAAACTTCTAAAATTCCATTTTCCACAAACATTTTGAAGTTCTCTTGTATGTTTTATCATAACTTGTTTTCTTTGACTTGGTTCATAGCCAGGTACCAGTTTTCACCTGCTTTTCTTTTTCTTTTTTTTAAGGTTGGTTTATTTATTTGAGAGGTAGAGTTACAGACAGAAGGAGAGACAGAGACAAAGGTCTTCCATCTGCTGGTTCACTCCCAAATGGCTGCAGTGGCCAGAGCTGGGTTGATCCGAAGACAGGAACCGAGAGCTTCTTCTGGGTCTCCCATGACGGTGCAGGGGCCCAAGCACCTGGGCCATTCCCAACTGTCTTCTCTGGTCATAAGCAGAGATCTGGATTGGAAGAGGAGTAGTTGGGATTTTAGCTGGCACTTGCAAGGGATGCCGGCACAGGCTTAGCCTACTATGCCACAGCACCAGGCCCTCTTCTTCTGCTTTTCTTTCACTTTGGAAATTACTTCCGTCTCAGAACACACCATGCTGCTTTATGCCATCGGATGTTTCTCTTGTCTTCTTTTCCAGGAACACTTTCATTCTCTGATTTATACTTTTCTTTGTGATTCAACCCAAAATTGTTATAATTCAAAAGTTAACACTTCTCCGGGAAATCCTTCACTACTCATCAAGCATTCCTCTGTTCTTCTGTAGCCTGTAAAAAACACATATTGCTATTTGTTTTAACTTTTATTCTCCATTTCTCACTTACTAGACCTTAAGTTTACCAGGCATCCCCTGATGCTTGATACTGTGTCTTTAAATGAATGCTCAGCACATTCATTGAACTGGTGATGGAATCAGGATTCGGAGTTGGGGTCATTTTTTCAGGTTCTGATTTCAGAAGTTGGAAATAAGACAATTAATTAATGTTTAGATTCTTACCTTAAAGATAGATGATCTAAACTTTTCAGTGGGAACAAGGTATATCTTTGAATTTTATTTGTTTTGTTTAATGTATTCCAAAGGAGGTTAATTGAATTATTTTATTTTGTTAAAACATGCAATAAAATTGACTCTTTAAGCCATTTTAAGTGAGAAGTTTTGTGGTATTAAGTATATTCACATGGTTGTATAACCATCATTATGATCTACTTCCAGAACTTTTTTATGTTCCGTGATGTAGGTATATCTTTGAATTCTTAATATATTTGAGCACTTCTAGTGGAGGGACAACTTTCTCAGTTCTGCTATACCTACCTTCCAGAAATCTGTGTTCTTTAACCTCTTATAAATGTGTTTTATTCTCTCAAAGATTATTTTTCTTCTCTTCAGTTATCTGATGTTCTTCTCCCTCTACCCTTCTATTGATTTAAGTGATTCTTTAATTAAACACATAGTGAAGGTTATGAACCTCATTATTATAGGAATTCAATGTGATCATCATATTTTGCAAAGGTTGTTGGACAGGAATTCAGAAGACTTCAGTTTTTACGAACCATTTTTGTGATATTGGGCAAACCAGTCAACCTATGTTAATTCACTTATTTATCAGGTGAAAAGTTTGATTAGATCTAGTAAAATTTTATAAGAGGCCTGTTGTGTTCATGTTACTCTTGTAGGTGTTGAGGGCGTGGAAAATGAAGGACTCATTTAATTGGTAACCCTTTAAGGATCTTTTAAATATGAAGTCTTGTTATTTTGTAAATGAAAAAAACTGTGATTTTGTTTGCAGTTACTGTAAAGTGGGGAAAGGAGAAATTTGGAGGTGTAGAATTGAATACTGATGAACCGCCCATGGTGTTCAAGGCTCAGCTTTTTGCACTAACTGGTGTCCAGCCAGCCAGACAGAGAGTTATGGTGAAAGGAGGAACATTGAAGGTAAAATTTAGTCTACATTTTCATGACTTATTATTATTGTGTAGTTAGAGGAAATATTTAACACCAGAAATTGTGTTTAGTGTTCATGTAGCATTTGAAGTATTTTTTATATGCTGAGAATATGCTTGTATGTGCCACAGGGTTAAAACTTTTATTCACGTTGGTGTAAGGGAAAAATGTTGGCATCCATCTCAAAACACTATTTTATGAAAATATCATTTAAAATTTTATTTACATTTTAAAAAATTTATTTGAAAGACCAAGAGAGACAAAGACAAACAAGCCCTTCGTCTGCTGGTTCACTCCCCAAATGTTTGCAACAGCCACAGCTGAGCCAGGCTGAAAATAGGAACCTGGAACTTAGTCTGGGTCTCCCATGTGGGCGGCAGGAACCCAACTACCTGAACCATTACCTGCTACTTCTCAAGGTATGCCCCAACAGGAAACTGGAATTAGAAGTGGAGCCATAACTCAAACCCCGGTGCTCTGATACTCATGTGGACATTCTAAACAGCATTTTAAGCACTATACCAAATATGGAAGTCTCTTTATAATTATCCATATTGTTTCACTTTTTTTCCTATGAGGATATATTGAATGTATTAAATGTTTTAGATTAGTATAAAATCTATTTTATTTCCTGAGAAATAACTATTACGGTGCTGGGTAAAAATTTTTTTAAAGGTTTATTTGGGGCCAGTGCTGTGGCACAGTGGGTTAATGCCCTGGCCTGAGGCGCCAGCATCCCATATGGGCGCTGGTTCAAGTTCTGGCTGCTCCACTTCCGATCCAGCTCTCTGCTGTGGCCTGGGAAAGCAGTAGAAGATGGCCCAAGTTCTTGGGCCCCTGCACCTGCATGGGAGACACAGAAGAAGCTCCTGGCTGTGGATTGGCGCAGCTCCAGCTGTTATGGCCAATTGGGGAGTGAACCAGCAGATGGAAAACCTTTCTCTCTCTCTCTCTCTGCCTCTCCTCCTCTCTCTCTGTAACTCTGACGTTTCTTTTTAAAAGATTTATTTATTTGTTTGAAAGAGTTACAGAGAGAGAGGGGGGAGAGACAGAGATCTTCCATCCACTAGTTCAATCCCCAGATGGCTGCAATGGCTAGCACTGGGCCAGGCAGAAACTAGGGAGCCATCTTCCGCTGCTTTTTCCAGCCATTAGCAGGGAACCTGATGAGAAGTGGAGCAGTTGATACACAAATTGGTGCCCATATAGGATGTCGGCATTGCAGGTTGTGGCTTTTCCCACTATGCCACAATTCCAGCCCCCAATGCTGGAAAATTTTATTTCTTAAAATATGCAACTATATGGATAATTTTTTTTATTTGTAAACAAAGCAAAACAAAACTGGGGCAGCAGGTTAAGTTGCCACCTGTGACATTGACATTCCATATGGCTGCCGGTTCAAGTCCTGGCTGCTCCACTTCCAATCTAGCTCCCTGCTACTGTGCCTGGGAAAGCAGTGAAAAATGGCTCAAGTGCTTGGGCCCCTGTATCCTGTGGGAGACCTAGAAAAGGTTTCTGATTCCTGGCTGCTAGCTTTGGCCTGGCCCAGGTCTGACAGTTGTAGACACTTGCAGAGTGAACCAGTGGATGGAAGATTTTCTCCCTCCCTCCCTCTTTCCCTCCCTCCCTCCTCTTTCTCTCTCTCTCTTTCACTATGCTTTTCAAATAAATACATTTTATTTAAAAAACCAGGAGAGGGAAGGTAATTTTGCTTCAAGTTTGTTTGGAATGATCACACTGACTATACTTAAGTGTCTAAGCTTACCAATTTCATTGATAAAGGCCAGAAAAAATAATAGAGATATTTTTCTACGATTGTGATATGCAAGTCCACGTTAAAAAAAAGTACTTTATTTAAGGGCTGAATGTGAAATGCTAAAAGAGCTGTGGTTAACTTTAGAGATAAGTACTGTCTGCTGTACAGTGAAACAGATGTTGGTGAAAAACTTTCTGCACATTGCTGTCTGAGCCTTTGGAGTTTAGTGAACTTCAAAATCTAGCTTGTGCTAAGCCATGTAGTAGTGGTATATTATGGAGAATTAAAGAAAAATTTTAATTAAATTGACTGTAACTACCAATAACTACCATTTGAATATTTGTGCCAGGCTTTTTATTTATTTTGTTTTAATTCTCAACTGTGTATTTTCCATTTTTTTCCTCTAAATATTTGTTTGTTTATTTGAAAGAGAGAGAGTGAGAAACAGATCTTGCATCCACATCCACTGGTTTACTCCCCAAGTGGCTACAGTGGCCAGGTTGAGCCAGACTGAAGCCAGGAGTCAAGAGCTTGATCTCGATCTCTCATGGGGGTAGCAGGGGCCCAACCACTTGGGCCATTTTCACTGCCTTTGCAGGCCATTAGCAGGGAATTGGATTGGAAATGGAGCAGCCAGGACTTGAACGGCATCCGTATGCGATGCTGGTGTCGCAGGCAGTGGCTTTATCTGCTGTACCACAATGCCAGCCCCCATTGTTATTATTTTAAACATTTATTTGTTCATTTATTCAAAAGGCAGCATGAGAGGAGGGAGGGTGAGAAATCTTCCTTCTTCTGATTCACTTGGCAAATGCCGGAAAGAATTGGGGCTGGGCCAGTCTGAACTCGGTCTGGGTCTCCCACTTTGGTGGCAGGAGCTCAAGTACTTGGGACCACCATCTGCTGCTTTCCCAGGTTCATTAGCAGGGAGCTATATCAGAATTAGAGTAGCTGAGACTTGAACTGGCACTCAGATATGGATATAGATACCCCAAGCAATGGCTTAACCCACTGTCCCACAACGCCATCCCTATGATATCCAGGTTTTATGAATGAGGAAATTGAATGTCAGAGAGTAACACAGTGAGGCACCAAGAGAGCATGGGATTTACAAATCAAGCAGATCTGAGTGCCATTCCCAACTTTGTGTGACCTCTGCTAAGTCATCTGAGGGAGCATTTTATATTTACATTTCCTTGTGATTAGAGTGGTGTCAATCCTATGATTAGCGTCTCTAAACTGAGAAGGCTTTTAGGAAGTTCATGTTCTACTTTAAAGCAGGGTATCCAAAGAGATAACTAGTGCACCAATGAGGGGAGACAGATATATTGAGCACCTATGCCTTCTGTGAAATGAAAATAGTTCTGTGGACCTGACTTTATCCTGTGAAGGTAAAGAGCTTAGCTGCAGTTAGTTCAAATATCTGCTGGGCCCAGCATTGTGGTGTAGCAGGTAAAGTTGCTGCCTACGATGCTGGCATCCCATTTTGGTTTGATTCCCAGCTGCTCTGCTTCCAATCTAGCTTCCTGCTAATGCACTTGGGAGAGCAGTGGAGGATGACCCAAGTGATTGGGCTCCTGCCACCTACACGAGAGACTCAGAAGAACCTCCTGGCTCCTGGCTTCAGCCTGGCCCAGACCTGGCTGTTGTGGCCATTTTGGGGAGTGAACCAGTGAATGGAAGATCTCTAACTCTGGCTCCCTGTCTCTTGTCTCTCTCTGTAACTCTTGACTTTCAAATAAATAAAAAAAATCTTTAAAACAGAATGTGTTATATGATCAGGACATAAAAACAATTTTTTTTTTTTTGCGAACACATTGAAGTGGAAGCATTTGTTAATTGCTTTGCTAATTGGGACTTGAGAAGCATTTGTGGACATGCAAGTATTAAGAGTTTGCCTTGGGTGGGCTGGTTTGCTGTCCTGGTATAATTTGTAATAGCACTTGCATTCTCAAGAGTTTCCTTGTTTGGATGATAAATCAGGTAGAGTCATCCTAATTAAGTAGATCTAATTTCACAGGTTACTTTTTTAAATTGTCTTAAGCTAATGAATTAGCTCTGCTAGTTCCAAACATAAAAAAATTAGTATATGTCATTTGTCATCTGTGAAGTGCTTTTTAGTACTTGCTAAAAGTGTTTTTAATACTTAACTATTTTTTAGTGCTTGGTGCTACTGATTTTATTGTCTGAGACTGTGTTACCATATTCAGTTTAAGCAGTTGTTAGGCTTCTTGACTTTAGGGCTATATGTGCTTAACAAAAAACTGTTTTTGATCATAATGATTGTAAATTAAATCAAAATACAGAATAAATTTCTATTTTGAAATAGCTTAATTATTAGATTTTGTTGAGCTTGTACAGGGATGGTTAAATATATTGTTTTTTGTTTGTCTTTGAAATAGGATGATGACTGGGGAAACATCAAAATAAAAAATGTAAGTATTATGGACAATTATTTAGCAGTAACCTATTAACTAAATCAAAATAAATTCCAGATGCCCTTCTTTTTGAATGTGATCCTGTTCTAGCATCATCTGCTGAAAATGCTTTTTCCATAACTTGTTTCTTTCACTGATATAGTTGATTTAAGTTAATACTAGTACCACAAATCTTGATTACTAAAGCTTTATAATGTCTTTAAGATAGTATAAGTTCTTCAACTTTTTTATGAATACTTTAACTCTTCTCATTCACTTAAAATTTTAGAATAGCCTGTTGGTTTCTATTTGGTTGGAGATTACACTGAATCTGTGGCTCAGTTTTGGGAGAATGAGCACCATTACAGTACTGAGTACTAAAATCCTTAAGTATGATGTACTATTTCATTTATTGAGCTCTTTATTTTCTCTTAGCAGAGTTGTAGTTTTCTAGTATGAAAAAGTTAGATTCTCAGTGTTTCTTCTATTTAAAAAACTTTTGCTGTTTATAGGTTCATGGCTAGATTATAAAAGCACATGGAATTTTTCTTATTTTCATCTTGTGGCCTTGCAATTGATTCACTAAATAGTTGCACATAATTTTTGGGTGGATTCCATTTAGTTTTATATGTATATAAGCATTTTATTTACAAATAATGACAATTTTATTTCTTTTTTTTTTTAATTTATTTACTTAACAGATAGAGTTAGTGAGAGAGAGAGACAGAGAGAAAGGTCTTCTTTCCATTGGTTCACCCCCCAAAATGGCCGCTATGGCTGGAGCTACGCTGGTCTGAAGCCAGGAGCCAGGTGCTTCCTCCTGGTCTCCCATGCAGGTGCAGGAGCCCAAGTACTTGGGCCATCCTCCACTGCCCTCCCGGGCCACAGCAGAGAGCTGGCCTGGAAGAGGAGCAACCGGGACTAGTACCTGGCGCCCCAACTGGGACTAGAACCCGGAGTGCCAGTGCCGCAGGCAGAGGATTAGCCAAGTGAACCACGGTGCCTGCCCCGACAATTTTATTTCTTCTCAACTTTTATGATTTCTAATTTTTTAAAGTTTTTTTTTTTTTTTTTTTTTGTGACAGGCAGAGTGGACAGTGAGAGAGAGAGAGACAGAGAGAAAGGTCTTCCTTTGCCGTTGGTTCACCCTCCAATGGCCGCCGCGGCCGGCGCGCTGCGGCCGGCGCACCGCACCGATCCAATGGCAGGAGCCAGGAGCCAGGTGCTTTTTCCTGGTCTCCCATGGGGTGCAGGGCCCAAGCACCTGGGCCATCCTCCACTGCACTCCCGGGCCACAGCAGAGAGCTGGCCTGGAAGAGGGGCAACCGGGACAGAATCCGGCGCCCCGACCGGGACTAGAACCCGGTGTGCCGGCGCCGCTAGGCGGAGGATTAGCCTAGTGAGCCGCGGTGCCGGCCTAATTTTTTAAAATTTTATTGAGGTATTTTGATAAACAGATGACTTGTAATTTGTGTTGTTAGGCCCTCTAATGCAGTGTTAAAGAATGGTAAGAGTGGATGTCATGTTTTTTCCTAGTTTACTGAGATTTAAAATTATGAATGACTGCTCAATTTTGTTTTGTGCTTTTTGTGCTTCTTGTTAAAATGATCATATTTTTCTCTCTTGTTATGGTAATGTGTTTAGTATCAGTCATTCAATATATATATTTTAATGGTTAAACTTTACATTTTGGGATGGGCAGTTCTCAGATTTCTTCATCTTGTGACCTCCTTCTGTGCTTAGAAATTATGATTGACCCTGAAGAGTTTTGTATATGTGGGCCTGATTTATCAGTGTCTACCACATAAGAAATCAGAACATTTTTATTTAAAAACTTTAACAAGTACATTATATTAATTAAATTTTTCTGGGCAAAATTAAATTTAGTAAAAAGACTGGCATTTTCCTACATTTTTTATTAGATCTTTATCTAAATAGGAAATAGTTGAATTTTCATGCTTCTGTTTTCAGCCTGTTGCAGTGTGTTCTTTGGGTTGAATGATATGAAGGCCTTATTATTTTTTTTTTTTTAAAGATTGATTTTGTGTTTTTGAACAGCAGAGTTAGAGGGAAAAAGAGAGAGGGAGAGAGAGAGAGAGAGAGAGAGAGAGAGAGAAAGAGATACAGAGATCTTCTACAGATATCTTTTCTGGTTTGCTCTCCAAATGGCTGCAACAACCAAATCTGAGCTGGGCAGAAGCTGAAAGTCAGGAACTCCATTCTGGTCTCCCACATGAATGGTAGTGGCACAGGTGCTTGGCCCGTCATCCGTTGCCTTCCCAGATGCATTAGCAGAAAGCTGGATTGGAAGCAGAGCAGCCATTACTTGATCTGGTACTCCAGTATGGGATGCTGGGATCACAAGCAGTGGCTTAACAGGCTGTTCCCCAACGCCAGCCCCTGTGAAGGAAATCTGACCTCGCCTAGTTATATAGATTTTTTCAAAAAAATTGTGAAAAACTTATTTTATAGTGCGCCAAAGCTCAACACATGGTATTTTAGTTTCCTTGTAGGGATAGAATCTGAAACTGTATCGGTGATCTTGTGTACATTTAAATTTATTGTTTTGTGCTTAGAAGGAGTCTCATACCCATGTTTGATTTTGTATTAATCATTCATTTTTTTTGTATTGGTGATTCAGGTTAGTTTCCTGCATTATTTAGATCTTACATGTATTGGTGCATTTCATTATACAGTGTGAAAAAGTTGCATTCATTAGTATCACTACTGACCTCAACAGAAATATCTTTACTGGAAAGCTGCATAATGACAAAGTTTCTAACTTTTACTTTAAAGTTCTAAATATTTTCAGTTGTTTTCTTTGAAGTGACTTGCCACTGTTTTTATTTTTAATAAAATGTTGGCTAATTGCCTATCTAAAAAAGCATGATTTGTCAGTTATTATAAGTAAAAATAATTTTCTGTTAACAGAATTATCTAGTTCAGTTTGCAGTACAGACATTTGCACAAGTGCTTAAACAAGACAATTTTCATTCTCTGGTTTGCAGCAAAAGTGTTTCATCACTTCTGCTCAGTCCGTAATTTAGAATCTCTAAAGAAATGTATTTGAGAGGCTGATATTGTGGAACATTTAAGTTGTGGCTTATGATGCTGGCACCCCATATGTGAGTGCCAGTTCAATTCCCTTTGCTTGCTTCTGATCTAATTTTTTGCTTGGGTCCCTATCCCCCATGTGGGAGATGTGGCAGGAGTTCCTGGTTTCTACTTTGGCCTGCCCCAGCTCTGACTGTTAGTGTATCACTAGGCATGTTGTTGAGACTGAAACCAGGAGGCAGGAACTCCATCGAGGCGTCCCACATGGGTTTTGGGGGCCCAGGCTTTTGGGCCATCCTCTGCTGCTTTCTCAGGAAACAGCAATGGTAATTGAATTGGTCCTCCAATAAGGGATGCCAGTCTGCTGTGCCACAACGCTGGTCCCCTGTGTTTTTGCTTGTTTGTTCATTTTTGGATGTCTCTTTCTACTTTTTAACTATGTTGAATAAACTCCTGGAAAACTTCATTTTTGTAGATAAATACTAAATAGCTAGGAATGAAATTAATTGGTCATAATGGTAAGCTTAAGTTAACTTTATAAGAAACTGCCAAACAATTTGCAGAGTGGTTATACCACTCACTTTACATTCCAGTGAGCAGTAATTGAGAGATCTAATTATTCTATATCATCACCAGCATTCATGGGAATTTAGTGATACTTGTTTTAATTTGCATTTCTCTAATTGCTAATGCTGAATGTTATTTCATGAGTTTATTGGGCACTTGTTTATCTTACTATCTATTCAAATTTTGTACCCCTTATAATTTTTATTTATTTGAAAGAAAAAATGACAATGAGAATCTGCTGGTTCAACAGCTGGTGCTGAGTCAGGCTGAAGCCAGGAGCCAAGAACTTAATCTGAGTCTCCCATGTGGGTGGCAGGGACCCAACTCCTTGAAGCATCCATCACCTGCTGCTTCTCAAGTTGTGCATTAATAGAATGCTGGAATCAGGAGCCATGCTGGGACATAAACTTAGGCACTAAGATTTGGGATACAGGTATCCCAGGTGACATCCACACTGGTACACTGAACCCTGACCCTGAGCCAGTGTTTTTGTCGGGTTATTTGTTTTTTTTTAACTAAGTTTTGAATATTCTTTTCACTGGGTACAAAAAAGTCCATTTGTGAGGTGTCTGTGCTGTGGATATTTTCTCTTAATCTGTTGTATTTTAGTGTTTATAATTTTGTTAAAAGTTTTCCATGTTTTTTTAAATATCAAATTTTCTTTTATGGTTTATACTAATTTGTATGAAGTCTTTGCCCATGTCATGGTCACAGGAGACTTTTTTGTGTTCTTTGTGTTTTAGGTTTTATTATTTTTTATTTTTTTAAAGATTTATTTATTTATTTGAAAGTCAGAAGTTACACAGAGAGAGGAGAGGCAGAGAGAGAGAGAGGCATCTTCCATCCGATGGAACACTCCCCAGATGGCCACAGTGGCTGGAGCTGTGCCGATCCAAAGCCAGCAGCCAGGAGCTTCCTCCAGGACCCCACGCGGGTGCAGGGCCCAAGGACTTGGGTCATCTTCTACTGCTTTCCCAGGCCATAGCAGAGAGCTGGATTGGAAGTGGAGCAGCCGGGTCTCGAACCGGTGTCCATATGGGATGCTGGTGCTTCAGGCCAGGGCATTAACTCGCTGAGCAACAGCGCTGGCCCTGTGTTTTAGCTTTTATATGTAGATTTATCATCTGTTTAGAGTAAATTCTTAAGTTTGTTGTGAAGAAATGATTCAGGTGTGTAAATACCATTTGTTGAAAAGACTTTTCCAATTGTACCTCAGCACCCTCATTGAAACGCAGGTGATTGTACACATGTTGGGCTGTTTTGGATTCCCATCCATTGATTTGTCCGAAGATACTTAAAATAATTTGTGAAATATGGATTAGGACAGGTTCAGTGGTGGGTGTTTAGTGCAGTGGTTAAGCTGGTGACTAGGAATCCCATATTACAGTGCTTGGGTTCGAATCTCACTGATGCTCCTGATTGTATCTTCCTGCTAATGTGAACCTTGGGAGGAAGAAGGTAAAGGTTCAAGTAGTTGTGCGCCTGCTACCCATACGGGAGAACTGGATCGGGTTTCAGGATCCTGGCTTTGGCTCTAGGTAGAGACTGTTGTGGTCATTTGGGGAGTGAACCATCAAAGAGATGATCTCTTTCTCTTCTCTGTTTCTCTTTTTGTCTCTCTGCCTTTCAAACAAAGAAACAGCCAAAAAATAAATACATAAAGTGAATAAAAAGTTAGGGGCTGGCATTGTGGCACAGTGGATTAACTTGTCGGTTGTGATGCCAGCATCCCATATTGGAGTGCTGGTTTGAACCCCAGCTGCTCTGTTTCCATTCCAGCTCCCTGCTAATGTACCTGGGAAAGCAGTGGAAGATGGCTTAAGTACTTGGACCCCTGCCACCACTCATGTGGGAGACTTGGATGTAATTTTGGGCTTCTGGCTTCACCTGGACCAGTCCTGCTGTGGTGGCCATTTGGGGAATGAGTCAGTGGATGGATGTGCTCTCTCTGTTACTCTGCCTTTTAAATAAATAAGTCTAAATTTTTTTTTCTTTTTTTTTTTTTAATGAAATCTATGCATCTGAGTGGTCCTCAGAAAGTTTATGGAAAATATATATTATGAAAAAATTATGCATGGGCATGAAATTTTTTGTACTAAAATAAGCTCGTGTTCTGATTCTGTTTTTGTGAACTTTATGAAGTACCTTGATATATGTATGTTTGCACCAATGTGCACTCTCCACTGTCATTGTTAATCAGGCTGTGAAATCCAGTAGTATAAGTCCTCCAGTGTTTTTTCTTTCTTTTTTTTTTTTAATAGATTTTATTTATTTAATTGAAAGGCAGAGTTTCAGAGTTGGGGAGAGATAGAAAGGTCTTCCATCTGCTGGTTCACTCCCCAAATGGCCACAACAGCAGGAGCTGGGCTGATCTAAAGCCAGGAGCCAGGAGCTTCTTCTGGTCTCCCACACTGGTGCAGGAGCCCAAGCATTGGGCCATCTTCCACTGCCTTCCCAGGTCGTATCAGAGCTGGGTTGGAAGAACAGCAGCTGGGACTAGAACTGGTTCCTATATGGGGTGCTGGCACTATAGAGAGAGGTGCAGTACCACAGTACCAGTTCCCAGTGGGAATACTTTTAAAAAACACTTTTTATTTGAATGACAGAGACGTGGAGAGACCTTTTGTTTGCTGGTTTACTCCCCAGTTGCCTGCTATAGCCAAAGCTGGGCCAGGCTGAAGCCAGGAGCCAATCATGGGTAGCAGGCACCCAAGTACTTGAGCCATCATTTGTTACCTCCTTGGGTGCCTAAACATTAGTAAGAAGTCGAATTGTTTGAACTGTAACCAGGCACTCTAATACATGGGATGCGGTGTCCCAAGTGGTATGACCTTAATCACTACCACACACTTGCCCTGGTGGCAATACTTAGAAGTTAGTATCTTTGGGCTTGGTGCTGTGGCATAGTGGGTAAAGCTGCTGCCTGCAGTGCCAGCATCCCATATGGGCTCCGGTTCAAGTCTCGGCTGATCCACTTCTGATCCAGCTTTCTGCTATGGCCTGGAAAAGCAGTAGAAGATGGCCCAAGTCTTTGGGCTCCCACGGTTACTTGGCAGACCTGGAAGAAGCTCTTGGCTCTTGGCTTCAGATCGGCACAGTTTTGGCAATTGCAGCCATCTGGGGTGTGAACCAACAGATGGAAGACCTCTCTTTCCCCTTCTGCCTCTGCCTCTCTCTAACTCTGCCTTTCACACAGTGGTGGCTTATCCTGCTACTCTACAGTGCAGCTCCTGTCTTTTTTCCTGTCTAACTGCCTTTCAAGTAAAATAAATATTTAAAACTAAGAGACTAAGGTAATATTCATTCAGTATTCAATATAACTATTTGCTTAATGTGTATAATTATAAAATTGAGTATTTTGAAATAATTGATGTGTTTGGTGTGTTTTCCAATAATGGAGATTTCAGTTCTCTGAAAATATGTGCAGATGGAAATCATTGTTAAACAGTAAGCATTCAGAGGAAGAATTTTATCAGTGATGGATTTATTAATGGAGAAGTGATGCCACTAAATATTCATGAGTAATTCCCTTGCCACTATTGTAGACATCAATTTTTTTTTTTTTATTTGACAGGTAGAGTTACGGACAGTGAGAGAGAGAAAGGTCTTCCTTCCATTGGTTCACTCTGTAGACATCAATTTTTATAGCACTGTTTAGTTTTTCCTCCCAGCTATGTTTAGATATAGTTTTCATACAATTAAATTAATGTATTATAATGTGTAATTCAAATTTTATATGACTATAATTTTATATAGTCATGTAACCACCACAATGAGGATTTAGTAGTTTTATCACTCTCTGTGTTCCTTTGTAAACAGGTGACCTCTTAGCCCCAAGCAGCCAACCCGATATTTTAAAAGTTTTTCAAAAAAAATTTAGTGATTTCATTTATTTATTTATTTATTTGGAAGAGTTACAGAGAAGTAGAGGCAGAGAGAGAGAGCGATGTCTTCCATCTGTTGGTTTGCTTCCCAAATGGCCGCAACAGCCAGGGCTGGGCCGATCTGAAACCAGGAGCCAGGAGCTTCTTCTGGATCTCCCACATGAGTGCAAGGGGCCCAAGGGCTGGGCCCATCCTCTAATGCTTTCGTAGGCCATCGCAGAGAGCCGAATCAGAAGTGAAGCAGCCAAGACTCGAATTGGCACCCATATGGGATTCTGGCACTATAGGCAGTGGCTTTACCTGCTATGCCACAGTGTCAGCCTCTGATTTATAGATTTCGTAGCCTTCATTGCAATTCGATTTTTTTAAAAATAGAGATTTATTTATTTATTTGAAAGGCAGAGTTAGAGGGAGAGACAGAGAGAGAGGTCTTCCATCTGCAGTTCACTCTTCAAATGGCCACAATGACCAGGGCTGGGCCTTGCTGAAGCCAGGAGCCAGGAGTTTCTTCCGGTTTTCCCATGTGAGCACAGGGGTTCAAGTACTTGGGCCATATTTTGCTGCTTTCCCAGGTGTATTAGCGTGGAGCTGGATCAGACGTGGAACAGCTGGCAGCTTTACCCACTGTGCCACAGCGCTAGCCCCTGCAATTTGATTTTAAAACACTATGATTACCTCTGAAAGAAACCCATTTAAAATCACTTTTTCCCACCTCTAGCCCTGTATAACCACTCCTTTTTGTATAGATTTGTGTTTTTTTGGGTGCAAATATAGTCATGGAGTGTATGTTCTTTTGTGTCTCTTTCATTAGACATAACTATTATCAATTCTCAAGATTTTTACGAAATTCCTTTTTTTAAAACAGGGAATGACTATACTGATGATGGGGTCAGCAGATGCTCTTCCTGAAGAACCCTCAGCTAAAACTGTCTTCGTAGAAGACATGACAGAAGAACAGTTAGCATCTGCCGTAAGACATACCATGTTTTATGTTTGAAAAACATTGTAGAAGTAGCAGCTAAATGTTTTGTAGATTTAATCACCGGCCCATGTGTTTTGTCGTTAGTTGTTCTTGAAATTAACTTGAGCAAGTTCTTCCATAGTCAGATATCTAATTCATAAAATTAGGTTTTGTGAATTTTTTTTTTTTTTTTTGCTGTGGTGCACTTGCATTATTTTTGCTTTCCTAGCTTCCAAGTGAATTTATTTACATTTAACATTAAACATAAGATTGTAATTGAGAGCTATTAAAAGCCTCAAAGCTATGAGATGTTAAAGACTATAATGAATCTTAATTTACAAATGAGGGTTGTTGTATTGTGTGCAGGGCTCCAGGCAAGTCTTATTGCAGATTCTTTCCTCCACTTGTGAAAGAATTCAAAGGTGGAGGCATAAAAGTGGACAGGAAAGCAGGATCTATTTAGAGCAAAGCAGAAGTTAAAAATTCAAAAGCTAAATCAAACCAGTTAGAACAAGCATGAACAAACAGCCATAATCAAAATGGCTCCAAAGAAAAACCCCTCACCAAAGAAGAACTTCTAACATGGAAAAAGCCTTCAAAAAAAGAATGTTTCTCTGTCTACCAGCAAGATTAGGCCTCCTATTTATATCAACCAGAGGCACTGGGGATGATATCTGGAGTGGAGCCTAATTGAATACTCAAAAGAGGGCAGAGTTTGGGGTAAGGCTTGAGAATTTCCATGCCCTTTCTGGAAATATCCATAGTATCATGGCCTCAGATACATAATGGGGATGAAAGGCCCCCACCATGGTAATTTTATTATTTCATTGTAATGACCTAAAGGTCATGGGAGGATGGGATACATCCTGCAACCATATTGGATATTTCTAGCTAGTGATGGTTCTACATTTGCAGCTTTGTGCATCTTGCAGTTTCTTCTAAACTGAAAAGGTAAGGGCCTTGGTGGTGCATGGGAAATAGGCGAAAGAGGGAGGCTTGGATTATACACAGAAAGGGAAGAGATTTGGATAGTGCGCAGAAGGGTGCATGTCATGCAGGCTAGGCCTGATTGTCATATGGGCCAGCCAGGGCTGTCAAACCATGGATTATCTGGAGCTGTCAATCAGCGACCTGCACAGGTTGGCAGAGAGTTGTCCAACCACAGTTTGGCTGAATCTGTGAGACCTCAGTTCTTTCCCTAGCTACCTACATTCCCACAATAATAAGATGCACACACTTAATAGAAAATAAAGTTAATGCGTATAATCTGTGTCTCGCAGATAGAATTATTTAAATGTTTACTGTTGTTTGATGAGAAAGCAGTTTCAAATAATAGTTTAAATGCTGGGATGTGTAAATTTTTTTTTTTTTAAAGATTATTTATTTGAAAGGCAGAGTTACAGAGAGAGAGGTCTTCCATCTGCTATTTTACTCCGCAAATGGCTGTAGTGCTTGGAGCTGAGCTGATCCGAGCCAGAAGCTTCTTCTGGGTCTCTCACCCAAGTGCCGGAGCCCAAGGACTTAGGGGCTATCTTCTGTTTCCCCAGGCCATAGCCTGGTTCGGAAGTGGAGCAGCTGGGACTCGAAACCGGGGCCTATAAGGGATGCTGGCACTGCAGGCAGCGACTTTACCCACTACAGCACAGTGACAGCCACTGAGTGTTTAATTCTTAAAACCAATATGGAAAACACATAAAGCTTATCTGAGTTTAAATACAGATTTGGTTTAGAAACTGGATGACACAATTGTGTCAAATTTTACTATTATGTTTCAACATCTGACATTTATGTAGTGTCATTTTCTTTCTTTTTTTTTTTTTTTTTAATTTTTATTTTTCTTTGACAGGCAGAGTGGACAGTGAGAGAGAGAGACAGAGAGAAAGGTCTTCCTTTGCATTGGTTCACCCTCCAGTGGCCGCTGTGGCTGGCGCGCTGCGGCGCACCGCAGCTGATCCGAAGCCAGGAGCCAGGTACTTATCCTGGTCTCCCATGGGGTGCAGGGCCCAAGTACTTGGGCCATCCTCCACTGCACTCCCTGGCCACAGCGGAGAGCTGGCCTGGAAGAGGGGCAACCGGGACAGAATCCGGGGCCCCGACCGGGACTAGAACCTGGTGTGCCGGTGCCGCAAGGCGGAGGGTTAGCCTAGTGAGCCGCGGCGCCGGCTGTTTTTTTTTTTTTTTTTGAAGTATTTCTATGCATGTTTTGCTATCCTGTTCTCATAATACATTCACAAAGAAGGAGAGACTGAGATGATATTTCAATATTTTCAAGAAGGGAACTAAAACACAAAATGATTGCCAGCCCGATGCAAGTAAAATTTTTCAAATTTACTTATTTGAGAAACTCTGGATGGAGAGAGGGAGAGCAAGCACCTATGAGTGAAATCTTCCACTTGCTGGCTCCCCAAAATATCAGCAAAGTCTGCATTCGAGGCAGGGGGAGGGCAGGAAGGCAATCAACTAGTAAAACATTTTTGATGGAAAATGAAACATTGTTATATCAGGGTAAATGTATACTATCAGTTGGCTGGTGCTAGTAAATGGTACTTGATTTTTCTTTTTTAAGAGATTTATTTATTTGAAAGGCAGACTTACAGAGAGAGAGAGAGAGAGTTAGAGTTCTTCCATCTGCTGGTTCACTCCCCAGATGGCTGCAATCGCCAGAGCTATGCTGATCCGAAGCCAGGGGCCAGGAGCTTCTTTTGGGTCTCCCATGAAGGTGCAAAGGGCTTGAGGACTTGGGCTGTCTTTTTTTTTTTTTTTTGACAGGCAGAGTGGACAGTGAGAGAGAGACAGAGAGAAAGGTCTTCCTTTTCCGTTGGTTCACCCCCAAATGGTCGCTATGGCTGGCGCACTGCGCTGCTCCGAAGCCAGGAGCCAGGTGCTTCTCCTGGTCTCCCCTGCGGGTGCAGGGCCCAAAAACTGTGCCATCCTCTACTGCTCTCCCGGGCCACAGCAAAGATTCTTACAAAGGTCAGAGCAGAGAGCTGAATCTGAAGTGGAGTAGCTGGGATGCGAACTAGCACCTTTATGGGATGCCAGTATTGCAGACTGGAGCTTTAACCCGCTGACCCATGGCACCAGACCTCTTTTTTAAATTTAAGATACTGTATTTTTTTTTTCTTTGATGGTACTTGATTCTGAGTGTGAACTTTAGTGATTATACAAGGATATGCCATGTCATTTCATTAAAATGATTTAATCCTCCCCCCCATCAGATGGAATTACCATGTGGATTGACAAACCTTGGTAACACTTGTTACATGAATGCTACAGTTCAATGTATTCGTTCTGTGCCTGAACTCAAAGATGCCCTTAAAAGGTAAGACTGAAGGGAGGTGTTTGAGGTTCATATTTGATGAGTATTTACTTTTTAGCATCTTTATTTAGTTATGATTTGTTTATCATTCGTTTTAGTCTCTGAAAGTGTTTGGTGGTGGCTTTTTTCACAAGGCTGTGTACCCATTACCATAATTTTTATTTTGGAAACTTTTTCTTCCCCACTAAAAGAGACCTCATACTCATTGATATAATCACTCCTTATAGCCTTCCACCCATCTCTAACTCTAGGAAACCATTAATCTACATTCTGTCTTATAAATTTGCCCAAAAAGGGCATTTCTTATAAGTGGAATCATTCAATATATTTTGTGAATGGTTTCTTTTTTTTTTTTTTTTTTGACATGCAGAGTGGACAGTGAGAGAGAGAGACAGAGAGAAAGGTCTTCCTTTGCCGTTGGTTCACCCTCCAATGGCCACCACGGCTGGCGCGCTGCGGCCTCCTTCCTGATTTTATTTATTTGAGACATAGAGTTAGATAAAAAGGTCTTCCATTTTGCAAGGGCCCAACACCTTGGGCCATCTTGTGCTGCTTTCCCAGGCCATAGCAGAGAGTTGGATTGGAAGAAGAGCAGCTGGAACTAGAATTGGTGCCCACATGGGATGCCACTGCAGAGCTTTAGCCTACTATGCCACATTACCGGCCTCTTAGTATAACATTTTCAAGGTTCATTTCTATTGTAGCATGTGATAATTCTTTATTCTGTTTTTGTGAAGGAATAGTATTCCATGGTACTAATATGCTACATTTTGTTTATTCATTCAGTCTGTTGATGGTCATTTGAATTACTTCCATTTTCTGGCTGTTAGGAGCAGTGGAGCTATGAATGTCCACATTTATTTTACGTTTTTAAAGATTTATTTTATTTATTTGAAAGAGTTACAGAGGGGGCCGGCGCCGTGGCTCACTTGGTTAATCCTCCGCCTGTGGTGCACACCGGCATCCCATATGGGCGCTGGGTTCTAGTCCCGGTTGCTCCTCTTCCAGTCCGCCTCTCTGCTGTGGCCCGGGAGAGCAGTGGAGGATGGCCCAAGTGCTTAGGCTGCTGCACCCGCATGGGACACCAGGAGGAAGCACCTGGCTCCTGGCTGCGGATTGGCGCAGCGTGCCGGCCGTAGCGGCCGTTTGGGGAGTGAACCAACGGAAGGAAGACCTTTCTCTCTGTCTCTCTCGCTGTCTATAGCTCTACCTGTTTAAAAAAAAAAAAAGAGTTACAGAGAAAGAGAGGTTTTACATCCACTGGTTCGTTCCCCAAATGCCCAGTGATTGGAGCTGAGCAGATCTGAAGCTTAAGAGCCCGGAGCTTCACCTGGGTCTCCGATGTGGGTGTAGAGGCCCAAGGACTTGGGCCATCCTCTGCTGCTTGCCCAGGCGCAGTAGCAGGGAGCTGGCTTGGAAGTGGAGCTGCCGGGACTCAAGGGTGCCCATATGAGACGCTGACATTGGAGGCCAGGGCTTTAACTTGCTGTGCCACAGTAGTGGCCCATGTTTACACATTTTGTGTGGATGAATTATTTTCATTTCTTTTGATTATGTACCTAGCAATGGATTACTCAGTGAATTTATACCATGTTTAACATTTTAAGGAACTATCAAATTGTTTTTCAAAGTAACTGCACCATTTTATATTCTCACCAATGATGTAAGGACCTTCCAGTTTCTCACTTCTGTGCTGATACTTGTTTTTATTTGACTTTGATTATAGTCATCCTAGGCATGGGAAGTGATAATTCATTTTGTTTCTGATTTACATTCCCCTAGTAAATAATGAACATTTTTTCTTACGCTTATTAGCTATTTGTCTTTTAAATGTCTGTTCAAATCTCTTGCCTGTGTTTTAGTTGAATGTTTTAAACATGTATTTTGGATGCAAGATCCTTATAAGATAATTTTTTTTTTTTTCATTTTGTGAGTTGCCAGTTCACTTTGTTGATTATCTGTTTGGAGCACAAAAATTCAAAATTTTGATGTACTTAATTTTAGTTTTTTGTTTTGTCACCAGTACTTTTGGTATCTTATATAAGGAACCATTGTCTAATTCCAGATCATAGAAATTTACTGTTTTATTATTTTTTGAGAGTTGCATGTTTCTAGCTTTTATATTGAGGTCTGGTATCCATTTTCATTTAATTGTTATGTATGGCTGGAGATATGCGTTGTACCCCATTATTTTGCCTTTGGAGATCTAGTTCTGCTAAACCATGTGTCGAAGACTGTGCTTTCCCCGTTGAATTGACATTGCACTTCTGTTGAAAGGCAGTTGACCATATGTATTAGTTCATTTCTGGACTCTAGATTCTATTTCATTTAGAAATAGTGTCTATTATTATGCCAATGAACAGTAGTTTTAAAAAAGAAAGAAAACTGGTTTTCTAGGAGCCTGGAACTCAATCCAGCTCCCAAACACTCTGGCCTTCCTAGGAGCTAGGTTGGAAATGGAGCATCCAGGACTGGACCTGGCATATGTATGGGATACCAGTGTTGCAGGCAGTGGCTTACCTGCTGCACCACAGTGCCAGCCCTTGCTATATGTCTTTATGTGCAGATTCCTATATCAGTTTCTGAAAGTGAAGTTGCTGGGTTAATATGTTAGATTTAACACTTTTAGCTGTTTAGATATTGTTAATTATTATTCCAAAAGGTAGAAAAATATAAACATGACATCCTGTACATATTCCTCAAAGTTAATAGGGTAAAGTGCCCTTGATTACTGGTAAGATAGAACTTTGATTACGGATGACTTTATTGGTAATTTGTGTTTCTCTCATGTTAAGAGGTTCTAATCTACCTTTTTTTTTTTCTTTTTCTTTTTGACAGGCAGAGTGGACAGTGAGAGAGAGAGAGACAGAGAAAAAGGTCTTCCTTTACTGTTGGTTCACCCTCCAATGGCCGCAGTGGCCGGCGCGCTGTGGCTGGCACACCACGGTTGGCGCACCGTGCTGATCCGAAGCCAGGAGCCAGGTGCTTCTCCTGGTCTCCCATGCAGGTGCAGAGCCCAAGCACTTGGGCCATCCCCCACTGCACTCCCGGACCACAGCAGAGAGCTGGCCTGGAAGAGGGGCAACTGGGACAGAATCCGGCGCCCCGACCGGGACTGGAACCAGGTGTGCCGGTGCTGCAAGGCGGAGGATTAGCCTATTGAGCTGTGGCATCGGCCTACCTTTCTTTTTCTTAAGCACCATTTATTATATGGTCAATAATTTAATTAATTTGAAATGACAATTTAGTAAGCATTCTTAAATATTTTTAAAAATTTGTTTCTAGTGCCGGCGCCATGGCGCAGTAGGCTAATCTTCCGCCTGCGGTGCCGGCACACCGGGTTCCAGTCCCGGTCGGGGTGCCGGATTCTGTCCTGGTTGCCCCTCTTCCAGGCCAGCTCTCTGCTGTGGTCCGGGAGTGCAGTGGGGGATGGCCCAAGTGCTTGGGCCCTGCACCCGCATGGGAGACCAGGAAAAGCTCCTGGCTCTTGGCTTTGGATCAGCGCAGTGCGCCAGCCGCAGCGCGCTGGCCGTGGTGGCCATTGGAGGGTGAACCAACAGCAAAGGAAGACCTTTCTTTCTGTCTCTCTCTCTCTCTCACTGTCCACTCTGCCTGTCAAAAAAATTTTTTTTCTAGATTTTTTTTTTATGGAATCTTGTTTTTTTAAATTTTTAAAAAGATTTATTTATTTGAAAGAATTACAGAGATATATCGAGGTCTTCCATCTGCTGGTTCACTTCCCAAATGGCTGCAATGGCCGGAGATGAGCCTATTTGAAGCCAGGAGCCAGGACCGTCTTCCTGGTTTCTTATGTGGGTGCAGAAGCCCAAGGACTTGGGCCATCCTCTGCTGCTTTCCCAGGCGCATTAGCAGTGAGCTGGATTGGAAGTGGAGCAGCTGGGAATCGAACTGGTGCCCATATGGGATGCTGGTGCTGCAGGTGGGGGCTTTATCCCACTGTGCCACAGCACTGGCCCTTTGTTTTTTTTTTTTTTTTTTCTTTTCAAGAATAAATAACAGTTTTTTTGAGAGGTAGAGTTCCTGACTTCTGGCTCCAGCCTGGCCTTGCTCAGGCTTGGCTTTCATAGGCATTTGGGGAGTGAACCAGCATGAGGGCCTAGCTGTGCCCCTCTGTCTGTGTTCCCTGTCTTTGTGTGTCTTGTCCATCTTTCTGCCCATCTCTCTGTCTGACTGTGCCCACTTTAACTCTGTTCTCCTTTCCGCCTTTGTGTTTGCCTCTCAAAATAAAAACAGTTTCCAAAATGCTGATCTAAGCTCAAGTGTTCAGCCTAGCTGTTAATATGTCCATGATGCTTGTCAGAGTAGCTGGGTTCCTTCTCTGACTTCACTTGCAGTTCCAGCTTCTAGCTGTCATGTACCCTGGTGGGGATGTAGCAGGTGAAGGCTCAAATACTGTGTTCCTACTGCACACATGCGAGATCAGGATTGAATTCTGAGCTCTTGGTTTTGGCCTTGCCCAACCCTGCCTGTTGGAGGCATTTGGAAAATAAACCAGGGGATGGGAGATCTCTGTCTTTGTACCTTGCAAACAAAAAGAGAAGTTTATTCTGGTTAAAAAATTTTGAAATGTTTCCAGTTTTTTATAATAAGCATTTTTCATAAACTTTTTGAAGAACCCATATTCTCATGAAAATAAGCGATCCATTTGGTCAGTTTTGATGTATGCAAATCATATGTAATCCATTTTTCTGTCAAGGTCTAGAACATTTTCATCATCCCAGAAAGTTCCTGGTGTCTTTTTGTAGTTAATCCTCATCCCCTTTACCCCGTTCATCAATTTCTGATTTCATGTTGATTTGCACATTCTGAAACTTAAATATAATTATATAGGACATGGTTTTTTTTGTTTATCTGAGCATAAAGTTTTTCAGGTATTTCTGAGATTGTGTTATTTTTTGTAATTATTGGATATTTTTATTTTGCACTGTATTTTCAGAAATTTTGTTAGGCATAGGGAACAAGAATTTAATGTAGGCTTCCTCCAAATTCCTTTTCCTTAGCCTTTTCTTTCTTTAAATTTTATTTGTTTAATTTTATTTGAAAGGCGGAAACAGATCTTCCATCTATTGGTTTACTCGCCAAATGCATGTAACAGTGAGAGTTTTGCCAGGCTAAAGCCAGGAGCTGGGAAATCAATGTGAATCCCCTATGTGGCTGATGGGAACCCAGCTACTTGAGCCATGACTGTTGTTTTCCTGCATGTTAGCAGGAACAGGAACTTGAACCCAGGCATTCCTGTATGGGACGTGGGCATTCCCAAGCAGTGTCTTAACTGCTACAAAACCCCTACCACAACCTCCTAACCCCTTTTAAAATGTAAATGATACCTAAAGGAGCAAGACCAGAAGAGAAAAATGGATAGGTGGGAACAACTCTGAGAAATTTGTGGTTGAGGATGTTATTTATAAGTCTGTTTTGCTGATTTCTTCACATTTGAGTTTCAGAATGAATTGCGTCCTATTTAATTCTGCCTTAATGTTCCTAGGTATGCAGGTGCCTTGAGAGCTTCAGGGGAAATGGCTTCAGCACAGTATATTACTGCAGGTCAGTATGATATACTAGTTTTGGCTAGTATTGGTGTTTAATTAATGTTATTTTTTTAATTCACAATCTGATAGAACCTTTTTCAGTATACGAATTGTATTATATAAAACATACTCATTAAGATTGGAGTACTGGGCTGGTGCCGTGGCTCACTTGGTTAATCCTCTGCCTGTGGCACCGGCATCCCATATGGGTGCCAGTTCTAGTCCCGATTGGTCCTCTTCCAGTCCAGCTCCCTGCTGTGGCCCGGGAGTGCAGTGGAGGATGGCCCAAGTGCTTGGGCCCCTGTCACCCACATGGGAGACCAGGAGGAAGCACCTGGCTCCTGGCTTCGGATCGGCGTAGCTCCAGCTGTAGCGGCCATTTGGGGGGGTGAACGAATGGAAGGAAGACCTTTCTCTCTCTCTCTCTCTTTCTCTCTCTCTCTCTCTCTCTTTCTCTGTCTCTCTCTCTCTGTCAAATAAAAAAAAAAGATTGGAGTACTTTTATACTCTATCTTATATAACTTGGAATAAAATAATTGAAAAATTACTGATAAAATAATCATAAATTATAAACCACATTATAAATCCAAATTATAAACCCATGATGGCTTTCCTTTTTGAAAAATAATCTTTGAGTTGTTTGGATTAAGTGATAGTATTGGCTTCAGGTTTTGTTACATAAATGTAATATATCTTTGAGGATGACTTTGAAGATAGCCAGAGACAGGTTTCATTATAGGTGATATGATCATTTTAAGAGTCTTAGTGTTAGTGTAAAGAAATGATGTAAATGAAGAGAAATACAAATTCTTAAAGGGTAGAATTAACTTGTTTCTTTATTACATGAGAACTATACTCCAGCCCAATTGTGGACATTTGCTTTATTGAGATATGTGACACAATTCATCTATTTGAAGTATGCAGTTAATTGTTTTTTAGTATGAGTATTTCGATTTGGGCAGTGTCACCACAGTAAATTTTATTAGAGTATTTTCATCACTCCAGAAAGCACCTCTCTAGCCTCCTTTTCTTCCCTTCCGATTAGACTGTTTGTTCTTTTCCCACTCTCAGTCCTCCCCAAACCTTTTTTTTTTTTTTTTTAATATTTATCTTATTTATTTGAAAGAGCTACAGAGAGAGGTAGAGACAGAGCGAGAGAGGTCTTCCATTTACTGATTCACTACCCAAATGGCCACAATGGCTGGAGCTGAGCTGATCTGAAGCCAGGAGCCAGGAGATTCTTCCAAGTCTCCCACGTAGGTACAGGGGCCCAGAGACTTGGGCCATCTTCTACTGCTTTCTCAGGCCATAACAGGGAGCTGGATTGGAAGTGGAGCAGCTGAGAATTGAACTGGTGCTCACATGGGATGCCGGTGCTGCAGGACGGGACTTTAACCCGCTGCACCACAGCACTGACCCTCCCCAAACTCTTAACCTGCTTTCTGTCTCTGTGGCTTTGCCTGTTCTTGATCTTGGATTAAAATGAAATTAGACAATATATGAACTCTTGTGGCTTCTTGGCGTAATGTTTTTAAGATTCATCCACATTGTCCAATGTACCAGTACTTTCCAGGCTATTATTGCTAAACAGGCTTCCATTGTGTGGACATACCACATTTCATTTATTCATTTATCACTGATGGACGTTTTAGTGTTTCTGCTTTTTGACTTCTAAATGTCAACACTGATGTATAAGTCCTTTTGTGACTTACAGTTTCCTTTCTTTTGGGTATATATCTAGGAGTGGAATTGCTGGTAATTTTACATTTCATATTTTAAGGGACTGTCAGCCTGCTTTCTAAAGGGGTTCACACCATGTTACATCCCCTCCAGCAGTGTATTAGGGTTCTGATTTCTCCATATCCTTGCTAACAGGATTTTACGTCTTTTTGAGTATAACCACTGTGAGGAAGTGAAATGCTATCTCATTGTGGTAAACTGTCGAGTTCTAGTACAATAAGTGGTAATTTCTTTGCATTATTTGAAGGTAGATCTTTTGCTCCTGAAAATACGTTGATTTCATTTGAAGTGTTTAAGATGCAATTGTGATCACATGTATCTAGGTTATTTGATAGCTTGTGTCTGAGTGATTCAGAATTTGAGAAACTTCAGCATCATAGAGCGGAGAGTTATACTGTTGGTGAGCTAAACAATACTGTTCTTTACACTTTCACTTTTTGACTTTTTAGCTTTTTTTAAAGTGAATTTATAGGACAATTGCAAGAAATCATCCAACTTTTTGTAACATTTAATTTCTCAGTTTTCTGTATTGCATATAATTTTTTTTCTGAACCGTTTGGAATAACATGCCAGGCATCATGTGTTTTATTCAATGTATCATAAGAATAAGGACATCTAGGGGCCAGCACTGTGGCATAGTAGGCTGAGCTTCCACCTGTGGCATCCACATCCTGTATGGCACTGATTCCAGTCCCAACTGCTTCTCTTCTAGTCCAGCTCTCTGCTAAGGCCTGGGAAAGCAGTAGATGATGGCCCAAGTGCTTGGGCCCCCACATCTGCGTGGGAGACCCAGAAGAAGCTCCTGGCTTCAGATCGGCCTGGCCGTTTGGGAAGTGAACCAATGAATGGAAGACCTGTTTGTCTCTCCTTCTCTCTGTCTGTAACTGTATCTCTCAAGTAAATAAAATCTTAAAAAGGACATCTGGAACCACAAGACATTTACCAGTTTGCAAAATTCGGAAGTTTAACATTATTAGTTTTGCTTAGTACTGTGACATACATTTATTTATTTATTTATTTATTTATTTATTCATTCATTCATTCATTCAAAAGGCAGAGCTAGGAAGAGATGGAGAGAGAGTGAGCATCTTTGTTTTCGTTGGTTTACTCCCCTACACAGCTGCAATGGCCAGGGTTGGTCCTGTAGGAGCCAGGAGCTTCTTGGGAGTCTCCCATGGCAGGGACACAAGCATTTGGCCCATCTTCCACTGATTTTCCCAGGCCAGTTATGCAGGGAGTTGGATTGGAAGTGGAGTAGCTGGACACAAACCAGTGCTCATGTGGGATATTTGCGTTATAGGCAGCAACTGTATGTTGTGCTGTAACGCCGGTCTCTGACATATAGACTTCATTCACATTTTGCCAGTTGTCTCAATATTTTTTTTTTTTTTTTTATTGACAGGCAGAGTGGACAGTGAGAGAGAGAGACAGAGAGAAAGGTCTTCCTTTTGCCGTTGGTTCACCCTCCAGTGGCCGCCGCGGCCAGCGCGCTGCGGCTGGTGCACCGCGCTGATCCGAGGCCAGGAGCCAGGTGCTTCTCCTGGTCTCCCATGGGGTGCAGGGCCCAAGCACCTGGGCCATCCTCCACTGCACTCCCTGGCCACAGCAGAGAGCTGGCCTGGAAGAGGGGCAACTGGGACAGAATCCGGCGCCCTGACCGGGACTAGAACCCGGTGTGCCGGTGCCGCAAGGTGAAGGATTAGCCTACTGAGCCGTGGCGCCGGCCTCAGTTGTCCCAATATTGCCTGTTAACAAGTATTTTTTTTTTTTCCTGCTGTAGGGTTCAATTTAGAATCACACATTGTATTTACTTATCTTGAATCATTTGTCTCTATCTAGATTATATGTCTTCACCTTTTTCATTTGAAAGAATAAAACACTTTGACAATGCTCTGTTGATGGTTTATACTAAATCTTAAATTGTCTTTATTTTACTTATTTATTTTTAAAGATTTATTTATTTGAAAGAGTTAGAGAGGTAGAGATAGAGATCTTCCATCCGCTAGTTCACTCCCCAAATGGCCTCAACAGCCAGAGCTGTGCCGATCTGAAGCCAGGAGTCAGGAGCTTCTTCTGGGTCTCCTACACAGGTGCAGGGGCCCAAGGACTTGGGCCATTTTCTACTGCTTTCCCAGGCCCTAGCAGAGAGCTGGATCAGAAGTGGAGCAGCCTGGTTTTGAACCGGCGTCTGTATGGGATGCTGGCGCTTCAGGCCAGGGCATTAGCCCGCTGAGCCACAGCGCTGGTCCCGAATTGGGTTTATTTTTTGAGTCGGGTGTACTTTAATACAGTATGAAAATTTCTGTTATTTAATGAATAACTAGCTTGGTGCCGATGCCCAAATTTCAGCCTTTTCTCCAAGTTGGGTTTAGATGTTTTATTCAGGAACGTTTTATTGAATCCTTGCTTTGTGCTGAGATGCTGTCGTATTTGCTGATTATTTAGTCTGTTATCAATGATAAATGACAATTCGTATTTTAGCTGTTAAGGTAAGTTAGATGAACACATTGTTGTTCATGAAGTAAGGGCAAACTGTGATGGCTCAGAAGTCAGCAGACAGCAGAGGAAGACACTTTTGAACTCCAAGAGCACAGCTGAGCCCATGACCATATTTGTGCTGGTAGGAGATAAGCAGAGGAAAGGTTTTGAAGAAGGCAAATTAGGTGAAGTTCCTTGCTGTTTGGTATGGTAGAATCAGGAAGTATGTTTAAGGAGTCAGGTTTCAATATCCAGGACTTTAGTACATGAGTATCCACAAAGAGATGTTGGGTGTGGTGACCTGAGGACCTGAACCTGGCAGAGTGGCAGAGCAGTGACATCGTGCCTATTTGATCCCTAGGTGGGAGTTATGTGCTCTCTGTATTAATACAACCTCGTTCGGGAAGACAAGAAAGAGAGGCGGGTCTGAGGTTTTTATAGCTACTGATTGTATTGTAATACCCTTTGGTGAGTTCTTTAAAACTTAAAATTTTTTTGTTCTTGTTTTTTGGTGGTCCAACAATTGTGAAAAGATAGATAAACTTTAAATAGTTAAGTAAGACGTTTTTTTGTATTAGGAATTGTCAGTAGCATGCATAAAATATATCACTGTTTTACTAACAGAATGTTTGCTTTGTTTTTAAGCCCTTAGAGATTTGTTTGATTCCATGGATAAAACTTCATCTAGTATTCCACCTATTATTCTACTGCAGTTTTTGCACATGGCTTTCCCACAGTTTGCGGAGAAGGGTGAACAAGGACAGTATCTTCAACAGGTAATCAGGACAAGGTCTTTTCATTCTGCAAACATAAACTTAGATTTCCTACACTCATAATACTTTCTGGGATGTATTTAAAAATGCTAGTATGAGTCTGTTTTGGCTCACATCACCATCTGGTTTCTGCTCCCTCTGCAGTGTTTCTCCTCATGGCCCCAGTGTCCTTTTTAATATATAATAGTAAGATTATGTTGGTCCCCAGTTCATTTCTACACTAGTCCTAAATCCTCTGGCTCCTGGATGCTTCTCTGAGCTTGTCCCAGATCTCTTCCCTTGCTCACGTTTGTCTAGCCACCTGGTTTCCTTTTCCTTACGTCCTTGAAGTACCTTCTTATTGAAGGGTCTTTGTTCTTGTTCTTTTGGCTGTTAGGTACATGCTTCCTTCAGGTCTCCTGACTCCGCGGCTTTCTCTGATTACTTTATTGAAATAGCACATTTTGTTTTCCCCTGGTCACCTGCTCCCATAACATTTTTTTTCTTCATGGTCTTTTTCACTATCTGAACTTAGAGAATTTTTCCTGTTTTTCACCACTATGTATTCTAGCAGTGTTTGGCACAAGTAGGAGCTCAGTAAATAGCTGTTCAGTGAATGAATAAACTCTTGTGGAATTCTTTATTTTTTTTGAAGATCATGTAATTCCTAATTTAGCATTTTTTATTTTGAGTGCTGCACATTTTTTAAAATCTTTATTTGAAAGGCAGAGAGTTACAGAGAGGCAGAGTCTCAGAGAGAGAGAGAGAGAGAGAAAGAGAGAGAGAAAGAGAAGTCTTCCATTCACTGGTTTACTCCCAAATGGCCGCTGCAGTCAGAGCTGGGGTTGTTGGAAGCCAGGAGCCTCCTCCAGGTTTTCCATGTGGGTTCAGGGGCCCAAGGACTTTGGCAGTCTTCTCCTGCTTTCCCAGACCATAAGCAGAGAGCTGGATTGGAAATGGAACAGCCAGGACTCAAACTGGTGGTCATATAGTAGGTGGTGGTTTTATCCACTATGCCACAGTGCTGGCTCCTAGCTTAATGTGTTTTAAAAAGAAAGCTTTCTCCCCCAAGGTAGCAACAGTTTTAGAAGGATTTTATAACTTAGTATGTCATTTTAAAAATTCTAGGATGCTAATGAATGTTGGATACAGATGATGCGAGTGTTGCAACAGAAATTGGAAGCCATAGAGGATGATTCTGTTAAAGAGGTAATTGAAGTTAATTTGTAATTATAAACTTTTGTTATACATTTTTGTTTTTATTTGCCCAAAAGTTTGAAATAATTTCATCTTAATAAGTGTGTTTGAATACTTTGGGTACTTAATTTATAGTCAGATTTGAGTGCTTGATTTGACATTTGAATTTAATGTATTATTTATTAAGCTTAATCTCAGGTGTTTTAGAGCACCTGTTATCTTTGATAGTGTTTTTTGAATTTCAAAAGGATTTTACACATAGGGAATATATTAAAAACAAAAACCTTATGTATTACTACACTAGGTTGTGGGGAAGGAAATAGGCATTAATATCTATATAAAGTAAAATTGAAATTTTTGTTTCATTTTAATTTTTTACAGACAGATTCATCTGCAGCAGCAGTGGCACCTTCTAAAAAGAAAAGTTTAATTGATCAGTTCTTTGGTGTTGAGTTTGAAACTACGTATCCTTATGAGCCAAGATTTGTGTGGACTGTATTCATAACTTATTAGAAGTAAATTGGTATAGAGTAGTTGGCTCTTTGACATGATTGTAGTGGGTGGGGTAGAATTAAAATTCCTCAGAAGTTTTCATGCCTGTAAAAGTATAATAATAGAAATGAAGAATTTAGAAAAATACACCCATTGGAATGCTCTTGAGGTTTACTAATATGTATACTTTAAGGATATTCATTATATTTTCCTAAGAACATCTTTAGCAGAGTTTACCTCATTAATTCCACTTTCTAGAAATACTTGGTTATATGAAAAATATGTCAACTTATGTATGAGATTAAACCAATTCATCAGATATGATCATACTAATTTCCAAGTCATGGGTAGAAACTTAGAAAGGATTTCTGTTCATTTATCTTTGGATTATTAAGCCCTTTTACAGACCATTCTAAATACCAAGTTACATTTGTTTAGAGTTCATTACAGTTTGTCTTTGACATATATTCATTAGTCATTGTCCAGAGTTGTTGGTGAGCAAGTGAGCATTCTTAATTATGTTGAAATGAATGTATTCATACCAAAATGTTTTAAATATCAGTGAAACTTAGTTTTAATGCCACTAGGATAATTTATTATATTCAGGATTTTATGACAAATTTAATACTTGTTGGCATGTTCCTTATCTTATTTGTAAAGCATGAAATGTACAGAATCTGAAGAAGAAGAAGTCACCAAAGGAAAGGAAAATCAGCTTCAGCTTAGCTGTTTTATCAATCAAGAAGTCAAGTATCTTTTTACAGGACTTAAGTTGGTAAGGACTATTAGTTGACTCTCATTACATGTGGATTCTATATGAAGACACCTGCTTGCTGAAACTTACTTGGAACCTTAAAGCCCCTACTTCTGGTTTAATGGTTGTTTTCATACATACACAGAGTTATACAACTTTGAGTTGCCTGACACAGCCAGTCCCAGCTGAGGTCAAACAAGGAAAGCAGTACTTTGCCTTTTTGTTTCAGTTCTCTTAGTGTAAACAAGTGTCTTTTTTTGCAGTGATTTCAGTGCCCTTTTTTCTGCCTTATTCTTTGTGCCTTTTGATGGTGATGTTGCTGTTTAAATTGGCCTGCAAGCATAGTGGTGAAGTCCTATCCATTATTCTGAAGTACAGGGGATAAGTTAAGTTGCTTTGGCAATGAGTTGAAAGTTATATATGGTATAATGTATTTTTAAGACAAAAACACTGGCCGGCGCCGCGGCTCACTAGGCTAATCCTCCGCCTAGCGGCGCCGGCACACCGGGTTCTAGTCCCGGTTGGGGCGCCGGATTCTGTCCCGGTTGCCCCTCTTCCAGGCCAGCTCTCTGCTGTGGCCAGGGAGTGCAGTGGAGGATGGCCCAGGTGCTTGGGCCCTGCACCCCATGGGAGACCAGGAAAAGCACCTGGCTCCTGGCTCCTGCCATCGGATCAGCGCGGTGCGCTGGCCGCAGCGCGCCAGCCGCGGCGGCCATTGGAGGGTGAACCAACGGCAAAAGGAAGAGGAATGCTGTTTTTTCTCCTCCCACTGTCCACTCTGCCTGTCAAAAGCCACTATTAAAAAAAAAAAAAGAAAACCACACACATGAAACAAGGTTGTGTATTGATTGGTCAGTGAACATACTGTGAACAGAGGCTCATGGGAACGTTACCTCCCTTTTCGCTGGGAGCACTAGTTTAGTATTTACAAATTCAGTGCTCATGATGACATTGCATAACATAATTACTGTGACTAACAAGAATCAGCTGTATATTCACAAGTCAAACTTCAACTTTGTGTTTCATAGAAAAAAAATCATTATTAACTAGATATACTAACGGATTCTGGTATAATCTGAATCAGTGTGGGTGTTCCTGTGTTAATGCTGTTAAGTGATAGTGCCCAGTGCCTTTTGATAATGCCTTGCTCTACTTTGGCACATTCAATAAGTGAGAAAGAGCATATTTAATTTTCCTTAGGGTTAGTTGTTTCCATGGGCCCTGTAACGTACTTGGAGTATTAACTTTAAGGAAAGTTACTGAAACTGTCTAGCTTCTGTTTTCCTTTCTTCCTTCTCTTCTCTCTTCTCTCTCTCTTTCCTTCCCTCCTTCCCTCCTTCCCTCCCTCCCTCCCTTCCTCCCTTCCTTCCTTCCTTCCTCCCTTCCTCCCTTCCTCCCTTCCCTCCTCCCTTCTTCCCTTCCTCCGCTTCCCTCCCCTTCCCTCCCCTTCCCTCCCCTTCCCTCCCCTTCCCTCCCCTACTGTAGTTTGGGAAAAAAATGGAAAGGTAGTCTTGGTAGTGAAGAATATACAGTGGCTATAGGCTTTCCCACAGCCTTTAGATCAAGAGAACTTTTCTGTATTATGCCTTTTCTTATTTTTTCATTTTTATTTTTTTAAAGATGTATATTTATTTGAAAGTTGAGTTACAGAGAGAGGAGAGTCAGAGAAAGATACTCCATCCTGTGGTTCACTCCCCAGATGGCCACAATGGCTGCAGCTGGGCCAGGCTGAAGCCAGGAGCTTCATCTGTGTATGTTACGTGGGTGTCAGGGGCCCAAGCACTTGGACCATCTTTCACTGCTTTTCCAGGCTATTAGCAGACAGCTAGACTGGAAGTGGAGCAATAGGGACACAAACTGGTGCCCATATGGGATGCCAGCACTGCAGGCGGAGGTTTAGCCTACTATGTGACAGTGCTGGCCCTTCTTACTTTCTTTTGATTTTCCTCTAATATAAATATATCTGATAATCCATAGAATAATGAAGGAAGGCTTTGTTATATAAAATACAGTATAAATTCTTTAAATTTGGATTATAACTAATAAACTTCAAACATTTATACTCAGATGAGTTCATACTAATGTAATTTATTTGGTTCCTTATAATAATTGAACAGTATTTAAGAGCTAGTGCTGTGGTGTATTGGGTTAAACTGACACCTGTAGTACTGGCATCCCATATGGGTGGTGGTTCGGGTCCTAGCTGCTCTGCTTTGGGTCTAGCTCCCTGCCTTAGAAAGCAGCAGATGATGTCCCAACTCCTTGGGCCTCTGTATCTACAGAGAAGACCTGGATGGAGCTCCAGGCTCCTGGCTCCTGTAACCATTTGGGGAGTGAACTAGTGGATGAAAGAGATATTCTCTGTCTCTCTGTCTCTGTCTCTCCTCTCTGTAACTCTTTCAAATGAATAAATGAATCTTTTAAACAATATCTAAAAGCCTTTCTATATTTTCTTCATTTCAAATTCTTGATGGTATAATTCCACATACATACTGTATGTTACCTACTAAGTAGTCATATGTTTTAAAAGAATTAGCTATGATTCTGTATTGCAGAAAAAAATTTAAAGCTAACATTTGGTCATCTTTTATATGTTCTTTTTTCAGCGACTTCAGGAAGAAATCACTAAACAGTCTCCAACATTGCAAAGAAATGCTTTGTACATCAAATCTGTAAGTTGTGCAATTCCTTTTGAATTTGAATTGAATTTTGTTGGAAAATTTCTAGCTAATTCATTTTATCCAGCTTTTGTTTTTGTCTTTCAGGAATTAAAAATGTGTTTGATAATTGGATGTAAAGAATTTCTTTTTTTTTCTCTTAGTCCAAGATCAGCAGGCTTCCTGCTTACTTGACTATTCAGATGGTTCGATTTTTTTATAAAGAAAAGGAATCTGTGAATGCCAAAGTTCTTAAGGTTAGTGACAAACCTTAATTTGTATATAAAATACAATTCTTTGAAGGCAATTCCTTACTTGTAATTATTTTCTTTAATTTCTTCAGGGTATTTAATCTTTGAAACATTTAGTGGAATTATTGACATTAGAAAAGTGTCCTAAATAAGAGTATATATTGAAACTATTTGATATTTATTTATTTGAGAGGCAGAGAGACAGAAAGCTAGCTCTTATCTGCTGGTTCGCTCCCCAAAAATGTGCACCATTTGGGGCTGAGTTGAGCAGGGTCTAGGAGTCAGGTACTCATCCAGGTCTCCCATGTGTATGTGAACCATCAGTGCTGCTTCCTGAGGTTTGTATTAGTAGGGAGCTGGAATCAGAATCTGGAGCTGGACTTCAAACTGAGGTACTCTAACATGGGATTTTTTTTTTTTCTACAAAGATCTGAATCCTGAGACTGACCAACAGATTGTTTGACCTACCTATATACCTTTCTCTTTCTCTTTCCCTGCTTTATTTATTCGAGAGGCAGAGTTAGAGAGAGGGAGAGGCAGAGACAAAAAGATCTTCGATCTACTGGTTCACTCACCAAGTGACCACAATGGTCAGGGCTGTGTGAGGCCGAAGCTAAGAGCCAACAACTCTATCCAGGTCTCCCACATTGATGACAGGGTCCCAAGCACTTGGACCATCTTCCACTGATTTCCCAGGCCATTTGTAGGGAGCGGGGTCAGAATTGAACCAGCTGGGATTGAACTGGTGCCAGTATGGGGTGTTAGTATCACAGGCTGTGGTTCAACCTATTATGCTATAATGTATAGCCACAATTTTTATTTTTTTTAAGGACATATTTATTTGAAAGGCAGAGCAAGAGGGAGAGGGGGAGAGACAGATCTTCCATCCATGGGTTCATTCCCCAAATGGCAACAGTGGCCAAGGCTGGGCTAGGTCAAAGCCAGGAGCCTAGAACTCCATCGGGGTCTCCCATGTGGGTGGCAAGAACCCCAAGTACTTGGGCCATCTTCCTGTGCTTTCCCAGGCATAGTGGGGAGATGGATTGGAAGGTGAGCAACCTGGACTTGAACCAGCACTCCATTATGGGATACTGACATTTCAAGGGGTAGTTTAACCTGCTTTGTCAAAATGCCAACCCTCTAGAATTTTATTTCAAATGTTAAAAAATTTGTAAATTAAATCCTGTTGTGGATATCCATTTTTTCACAGCAACTGGTGTAATATTTCTAAAACACTTCTTTTTGTATGTTTTTATAACTCCTCTGTGGTCACTTTTGTGGGTTACATTAAGCAGTAGAAAACCCATTTAAAAGGTTTTTTACCTTAAAAAAGCTGATGCTTATTTTTAAGGATTTTCTGATTTTTAAATTTTTTAAAGCACAAATTTCCAAGTGATTTTCAGAGATTTTATTTTCCTTTTATTTGAATTATCAGTGCATTATGTTGACAGTGTCATAGGTAAATAACTACCTTTTAATTCTTTTCACAAATTTCTTTTCATTCTGGCTTATTCATAGGATGTCAAATTTCCTCTTATGTTGGATGTGTATGAATTATGTACACCAGAACTTCAAGAGAAAATGGTCTCTTTTCGATCAAAATTCAAGGATATAGAAGATAAAAAAGTGAATCAACAGCCAAATGCAGTAGGTTTTTATTGTTGATTTTCTAATTTTAATATTTTAATCTTCAGTCAAGACTTAGCAGTTACATTGTATTAATCTATCAGTAAAAATGGATGAATCTGTATTTCAATGAGCAGATATACACATCTTAAACGTAAAGGTGTATTTTAGCCTACAGGAAACAGTAAATGAGTCTCTGATGGTGAATAACCTTAGTGCTTTCTTTTTCCCCATGATCTTCAGCTTATATTCCTTTTGTATTTATTTGCTAAAACAGTTCACATAAAATCTTACCCAGTGTGTTCAGCACATGTTTTTATTTTCTTTGCGAGGCATGAAATCAGTGCCATCTTTCGGTGGAATTGGTGGTACAGAATGTTGACTTGTTTATGCCCACTGCGCCCACTAAGCCACATCCTTTAAAAGGTGCTGCTGGCATTTCAATGGCTGCCAAAATCATAACTGTAGCAGTTTTATATTTAAGTTCAGATAAGGTATGATTAAATTATATGTTGAATTTTTTTTTCTTCAGAATGAAAAAGAGATTCCAGGTGACTACAAGTATTTCAGGTTTTCAAATTACAATTCTGCAGGTCATCATTTGCATGTATGTTACAAATAATATACAAAAATTTATGTTGAGAATATAGAATCACATGTGGTTTTAAGAGATTACAGAGATCCTGATCACTTTTTATCCAGTTTCCCCCAAGTGGTAACATCTTGCAAAAGGATAATTCCTTTTTTTTTTTTTAAAGATTCATTTCTTTCTTTATTTTTGAAAGGCAGAGATAGGAGAGAGAGAGAGCATGCACGAGTGAGTAAGCACTTCCATCTGCTGGTTGACTCCCTCACGGCCTGGGCCAGACCCAAGCCAGGAGCTAGAAGCTTCTTTTGGGTCTCCCATATGGGTATGGAGTCCCAGGGGCTTGGGCCATCTTCTGCTGATTACCCAGATACATTAGCAGGGAGCTGGACTGGAAGTAGAGCAGCCAAGACTCAAACCAGTGCCCATATGGGATGTTGGCACAGCGTTGGCCCCACAAAAGAGTAATTCAGTATTGCAACCAGCATATTGACATTTTTGTAGTCAAGATAGAGTACATTGTCATCTCCACAAAGAGCCACATAATTTCCCTTTGAGGCCGTAGATTCACTTCTCTCTTGCCCTACCCCTTCTTTTACTCCCAGCCATCACTAATCTGTTTTCCATTTCTTTAATTTTGTCATTTTAAGGAGCTCATATAAATGAAATAAAATACTTTTTAGGGATTGACTTTTGTCACTCTGCATAATATCTGGATATTCATCCAAATTCTTATGGAGCTCGGTAGTTCATTCATTTTCATTGCTAATTAGTATTCCCTGGTAAATATATACCAACTTCGCTTAACTATTCTCCTATTGCAAGACCTCTAGACTTTTTCCAGCATTTGTCTATTATGAATAAAGCTGCCTTAGACATTTGTGTACTGGTTTTGATATAAATATTTATTTCATTTCTTTGGAACAAATGCCCAGGGGTGCGGTTGCTTAGGTTGCATGTTTAGTTTTTCAAGAAACTCTCAAATGTTACTTAGAAAGGCTGTGCCATCCGTTGTACATTCCAATCAGCAGCATGTGACTGATGTGGTTTCTTTGCATTTTGCCCAACATTTGCTGATGTGTTTAGTTTTTATTTTAGCCATTGATAGGTTTGTAGTAATAACTGATTGTGTTTTTGATGTGCAGTTCCCTAGTGGCTGTTGGTGTTCAGCGTGTCTTTTTTTTTTTTTTTTTTTCCTGGTCAAACACTTTATTTAATGTGCTTAATAAAAACCTACATTTTCAGACCACAGTATGTTAGTACATTCAACAAAAATTTATATTATCTTACTACTTTGAATTTGCAGAATAGTAATACAGATACATTTTGATTACGTGGTTGAAATACCCTTCCCTGGTTACTCCTCATAGACATCACAAATCCCTTCAAATAATATAAGCAAAGTAACTTTGCCCTGAAGTAAGCCTAGGAACTTCATTCCATTCTTTCAGGACTTGTACTTCTGTGTGAATCATCTGTATTTCCTCTTTAGAGAAATGTCTCTACTTTGTTTTTGACAAAATAAGTTTGTGTTTTTGCAGAATTTTTCCATTTCCATTAGGTTTTAAGATTTAGTTTAATTTATTTGAAAGCCAAAGTGAGAGAGAGGGAGAGACAGAGAAAGAGATCTTCCAATTGCTGGTTTACTTCCCAGATGATTGCAATAGCCAGGACTGGACCAGGCCAAAGCTAGGAGCCAGGAACTTTGTCCAGGTCTCACATGTGGGTGGCAGGGACCCAAGCACTTGGGCCATCTTCCATTGCTTTCCCTAGCATGTTAGCAGGAATCTGGATTGGAAGCAGAGCAGCCGGGACTCGAACCGGCACTTAGACATTGAGGATGCTGTGGCTTAATCTGTGCCACAGTGCTGGCCCATGCGTTTCAGAATTGTGTGTGGAGTTGTTCCTAGTATAGTTACTGTGTTGCTCAACAACAGGGCTATTTTCTGATCCAGTAATTTTGTGGTCATGCAGTCATCATAGAGTGTACTTCCACAGACCTACATAGTATATGCCATCCACTCTATGTAGTTTCTTGATGTAATCAACACAAGCAGTATTGGCTGCTGTTGATGTTACAAGACATACTGTATTTTTTTTAGGTGTAGCATTTTCTTTTTAAATTTTTTTTGAGTGAATGTTTTTATTTAATGAATACAAATTTTCATATGTACAGCTTTTAGGGATATAGTGTTTCTTCCCATACCTGCCCTCCCACCCACACTCCCATCCCTCCTCCCACTCCCTCTACTGTTCCATTTTCCATTAAGATTCTTTTTTTCTTTTGACAGGCAGAGTGGACAGTGAGAGAGACAGACAGAGGGAAAGGTCTTCCTTTGCCGTTGGTTCACCCTCCAATGGCTGCTGTGGCTGGCATGCTGCGGCCGGCACACTGCGCTGATCCGAAGCCAGGAGCCAGGTGCTTCTCCTGGTCTCCCATGCGGGTGCAGGGCCCAAGGACTTGGGCCATCCTCCACTGCACTCGTGGGCCACAGCAGAGAGTTGGCCTGGAAGAGGGGCAACTGGGACAGAATCCGGCGCCCCAACTGGGACTAGAACCCGGTGTGCCGGCGCTGCAGGTGGAGGATTAGCCTATTGAGCTGCGGTGCTGGACAGGATTCATTTTTAATTGACTTTATATACAGAAGACGAACTCTTTACTAAGGAGAGATTTCAACTATTTGCACCCACACAAACACACAAAGTATAAAGTACAGTTTGAAGACAAGTTTTACCATTAATTCTCATAGTACAACTCATTAAGGACAGAAGTCCAGCATGGGGAGCAAATGTACAGTGACTCCTGTTGTTGATTTAACAATTGACACTCTTATTTATGATGTCAGTGATCACATGAGGCTCTTGACATGAGCTACCAAGGCTATAGAAGCCTTTTGAGTTCACAAACTCCTTCGGTTTTTAGACAGGGCCATATGCAAAGCAGAAGTTCTCTCCTCCCTTCAGAGGAAAGTACATCCTTCTTGGACCCTTCTTTCCACTAGGGTCTCACTCACAGAGATCCTTCATGCACAACATAGTTTTTGCCACTATGTCTTGGCTTTCCATGCATGAAATGCTCTCATTGGCCTTAGAGGCCGATTCTGAGGTTAGGGTGCTGTTTAGGGTGTTTGTCATTCTATGAGTCTGCTGTGTGGACTGATTCCTGTGTTGGAACTTTCTCTCCTTTGTAATTCTATCTATTGTTATTACTAGGCACTTGGTCTGTTTTATGTGATCCCTTTGACTGATGGTCTTATGTATATGATCACTTCCATACTTAATATGACGACTTTATCACGTAAGATGGGATTAGTGCCACCCAGCCAAATGGGATTTGGAGTTCCATGGCAAGTTTTTAGTTTCATCCTTAAGGGTAGGTGTGTGGGAATGTGTGCTGATTTGTGATCTATTTTCAATTGACTTAATACATCTATGATTAATTCTATGTTAAGTAAAGAGTTCAGCCAATGGTATTAAGTAGAGAAGAAAAAAAGAGTAAAAAAAGATAAAGTTAAGTAATAAAGTGTTCAACAGTCCAGACAAGGGCTGTTCAAGTAATTGCTTCTCATAATGTCTGTTTCACTTCTACAGGTTTCCTTTTAGGTGGTCAGTTAGTTGTCATAGATCAGGGAGAACATATTATATTTGTCTCTTTGGGACTGGCTTATTTCACAAAGTATGATATTTTCCAGATTCATCCATTTAGCTGTAAATGACCAGATTTGTTGCTTTTCCTTCACTGTTCCATTTTCCATTTAGATTTTTTTTTTTTTTTTTTATGACAGGCAGAGTGGACAGTGAGAGAGAGAGACAGAGAGAGAAAGGTCTTCCTTTGCCGTTGGTTCACCCTCCAATGGCCGCCGCTGCAGCCGGCGCACCGCGCTGATCCTGGCAGGAGCCAGGAGCCAGGTGCTTTTCCTGGTCTCCCATGGGGTGCAGGGCCCAAGCACCTGGGCCATCCTCCACTGCACTCCCTGGCCATAGCAGAGAGCTGGCCTGGAAGAGGGGCAACCGGGACAGAATCCGGCGCCCCAACCGGGACTAGAACCCGGTGTGCCGGCGCCGCAAGGTGGAGGATTAGCCTATTGAGCCACGGCGCCGGCTCAGATTTTGTTTTTCTAAACTGCTATGTAGTGTTCCATAGAGTACATAACCCATAGTTTCCTTATCCAGTCTTCTGTTGATGGGCATTTGGGTTGATTCCATGTCTTGGCTATTGTGAATTGAGCTGTAATAAACATAGAGGTGCAGATGTCTCTTTTGTTTGCTGATTTCATTTGTTTTGGGTAAATTCCAAGGAGTGGCATGTCTGGTCGTATGGTAGGGCTATATTCAGATTTCTGAGGTACCTCCAAACTATCTTCCGTAGTGGCCTTGCCAGTTTACATTCCCACCAACAGTGGCTTAGAGTACCTTTTTTGCCACATCCTCGCCA